CCTGAAAAAATTCAGGCTTGAACATAAGCTTAACACAACAGCGATGGTCATTCATGTCTTTATTTACGTAAAAGACACTCTTGAAAATAGAACCTTTTTTTCTATTGCAATCAATAATCTGATATATCTAGATATTCTAGCTTCCGAAATGAATGTAAAACGTTTTTCACACAAGCCTTCAAAGAGAAAAGGAACTAAACAAATAAGCTAAAGCTTAGATATACAGATATGCTCTAAACTCTGGTAAACAAGGAGCAGTTTTGTTAATTAGCAAAGTAACTACGGTAATTCATTGCAAGTAAGCTACAGCGAAGCTAAAAAAAGTTACCCTGCGTTTTCTACAGATAAATGTAAACTCACACTAAAAACCCAAACAAAAAACAGCTCAAAAGCTCACCATAGCAAAACCTGACATCAGCGCCGAAGTGCGACTAGATGCTTTAAGTTTTCCGCGCGTAAGAAATATTCTTCTGACAGTTAACCTCTGTACAGACTCTTCGTCTGTGTGCTTCATGTCGAGTTGATCTTATTTAGATCAGTAGTAAGATGTCTTCCAGCTTTCTTTGCCGTACAAAATAACTTTTTAACCTTCACTGGGCTGAACGATGGTGGCCATATTTGTTTTTTCGGAACGATTGCACCCGCTGACCAGTCGACGTGGCCTTCATGCATAACTGTAGGTGCTTGCGTGACAGGTATCGTCACGCCTCTCTATCGGGCGATAAAAATTCGAAAACAACTGAAAATTTCCTTTCTAGCAAGTTTCATTTCTCGATCTCCCAGGGAACTACCAGGGGATGAAAATCAGAAACGAAATCGGCGATATTCGTATTTTGCAAGTTATTATGGTAGCACGGAGTGGAAGTCGTGGAACAGTGACATCACAACAGGGAAATAGATCTGCATTTCTCAACGTGTTACGGATTGTTTCATTGTTAAATGGTTTTTATTTTACTTCTAAAAGTTGGCTATCGTTTATTTTTAGCAACCTTCGAATATGTCCGCGTTATCTTATAGTATTTACTGCTAAAATCGACCAAATCCGCCGCCGGCATTTGTGCCGTCATCACATCAAACTCTTATCTTCGCCGATTCAATGAGTTTGAACTTCAACGTCTGTGTACTTGTTCAATTGACCGTGGCCTGTGAAGCCTATTTACAGGGGACCCACTCGCGCAGACTTGTCTCTCTCAGGGGCTTTCTTCTGTGAAGGTCGCCCTGTGAACGTTCAGGGTCAGCATTGAATAGCTCGGCATTCGTTGCCTTGACCTGGAGCCTTGTTAGACGGACTGGAACTGGAAGCTAAAACGAAATAAAAAGCACGTCTACCTTTCAAGAAGTTCCGCTTATTTTGGTCATCCTCCAGTCGAGTAAACCAAAGTAGCCTTGTAATTTACATTCTTGCCGACTTTTCCGACTGTAACGTATTTTTGGTGCACCGCATTTAAAGTAACTCAAGTGACATGGTAGTAACCAGTTCGAAAGGCAATGGCTGACTCTGGTCACCACGCACATATTTTTTTTTTAATTCTCTCCATAGTCCTATCATGATGTAGCATATATTTCTCTTTTTATATTTATTTTATAATACTGATGTAAATTAAGTCTGTAAATAATGCGCAATAATAAAGCAGTTGAAGTTGAAGTTTCCGAAATTTGCTATTATTTTCCGCCTTCTTGGAAAAGGGTACGTATACAAGATTTACATCTGATAATTCAAAGTTAAGACCCATATGATAATGGAGCCCAGTGATCACCAGAGAGGTTCCCTACCAAAAAGACCAAGCGCCGATATTGTTGTAATACGGTCCCGAGAAAGATTGATCAATTTTGAGAGACTTTATACACGACTATGTGATTGCAAAGGAGCTATGGAAAAGAACAACTCGAACTGCGAGAGTACAAAGAATGACAAAGAGGTTTCATATAAATTTATAAAAGATTTTTTCTTACAAAACGTGTTCTGGAATAATTGAACGGATTAAAACCCTTTTTTGACAGTGAGCGATGCTTGATTTTGGAAACTAAAGAAGGAAGAACGTGTTTTTCACAAAAACAACTACAAGGCTGACCTTATTAGACGAAACATTTACCGACCTACTGAAGCTGACGCAACGAACAGGAACCCAACACCTGTTAGTACAGTGACTATACCTTACACTGAGGGCACTTCTGAGACCATCTCACGGATACTACAGCCCTACAACATCCGTGTGGCCCAAAAACCTACAACTACGTTGCGACACTTACTGACCAACGTTAAAGACAGGGACGAACCTAACAACAGACAGGAAGCAGTTTACAAGATCAAATGCTCCAACTGCCAGGCCTCCTACATTGGTGAGACTGGCAGAAATCTTGACACGAGACTGACTGAACACAAACGAGCCACGAGAAATGGTGATGCCAACAATCACATTGCTGTAC